GGTGGGTGTGTGTGGACAGCTGGGGTGTGTGCCTCACCTGCACCAGCAACTGAGCACTCCTAACAGGGGACCAGGTGCTGTGTTGACTGCCCACCCCTCCAACCCTCCCTCCACCCACGACCAGCATGGTCACAGCATAGTTGGAAACGAGGGGTTTCATGTTCATCGTTGTTTCCATCCTATTCATTCTCTATATTTACATTCTGTACAGTCAGTCTGAAGACAAATCGTTTCATTTCCTGCTGTTGCGAATATACTGCATGTAATTACATATTCAAACATGAAAACATACTTTATATCTATACCATAAAACATGAAATATACTTTGGTAGCCTTTAGCCTATATCTTATCGAACAATCTGTTAGACATCTGTGAATGTCGTGATTACAAAGTTTACAGATAATACTCCTGATGAACTAGTGAAACTAAGCCTTCTTTGACAATTACATATTCATCCAGATCATTTTACGCAATAAACTCATGAGAGAGAAAGAGAGATACAGAGAGGAAGAGAGAGAGTGTGGCTGGCCGCAGTCATGTTTTTATTCTCTGAGTAGAGTTTGGTCACCATGGCGAGGTCACAGTCTGTTCTCTGACCCCAACAATGCCAGGCCCCTGAGGTAATGCTGGCAACAAGACAATCCGCTGATAGTAGCCATGGCAACGCCAGCATGACCTCACTCAGGGTTGCACCTAAAGGTCAAAGCTCTGACATCGTGCTCTATCAACGGTTCCGCAATCTATGTCAAATGTCTAAGTTAGAAAAACAACAGAGTAGGGAAAGTGAATCAATCAAAAGTGGCTTTTGAACTTCATTAGTTTAAGTGTTATTCATAATCACTTTTCTAATTACTTGGGAATCTATTGGTGGGCACAAAATACATTTGCCACATCTAGGCCGCAGTCAGTACTGTCCATTAATTTACATACATACATAAATATTACATAGTGCCCAAACTCAATACAACTCAACCAGGGAGGCCTCATCCCACCTGTCACAGATAATATCCTTCATCCTATTTCTGCCTATAGAATAATAATATATCATAATATGTAATATAAGTAGCACAGTTTGTAGGAAATAAAATCCCCTTAGCTAATTATATTTCATTTAGCTTTACTGATAACTGCCGTTGTTCCGCTGCTTTTAAAAACAGCTAATTTTGTCAGTTGGCATTAATACGACTTATTAAAATGCTTCCCTGCAGCGGCGTGGCAGTTAGCGAAACGGAAATTTCAGGTGCTTCAGCGGAGGATAGAAGGATGGAGGGAGGTGGGTGCCTGAGCCTGGCTTCTCCACTTTCTGCTCTCTCTCTCTCTATTCGTACCGTCCCGTGTGGCCTGGGCTAGGCTAGCTATATCTCTAGGCTAGGCTAACACTGGTGGGGTAAACAGCAACATCTGTCCCCTGTCCAGCCGCGACTGTCGCAAGGTGACTGGTGCCAGTGTTGTCCGGTATATGCCACCTGTCCCCCCGACACACACAGGCACACACCCCTCACACCAGGAAGGTCACCCGTGATACAAGTCAGTATTCAACGTCCATCCATGTCTGAGGACGTCTGGAGATGACTTGGAAACCGGCCACTAGGGGTAACAGTGAGCACTGTTACCTTCAAATAGGTTTTGGTTTTGCTAGGGCGTTGTGGACAGGGATGGTGGATGGGCGTAAGCATCCAAAGGTTGCATGTTCGAATCCAGCTATAGAAAGTTGGTTTTGATATTCTTGTTTTAAGCCTATCCCAAACCTTAACCCTTACCTTAACCATTCGGAGTTAATGCCTAACCTTAAGAATTCTGAGTTAATGCCTAAACTTACATTTGTTTGGAACAACTTCCACATTTTTCATTTGAGAAACATGGATGAACGTGTAATTCTGGCGTGAGGCTGTAAGAGCTTGTAGCTCTCCCCTCCTGCTCACCCCAACTACTCCATATACCCCAAATAACCCCTTCTTAACTACCATTTCCCCCTTAACTATAGACTTAAGAAGAAAGTTAAGAAAAGTTGCTTTTCCTCAAAAAGGTTATTGGAAATTTTCTTGTGCTATTTCTTATGTTTCTCCTTAGTTAAGAAGAATTAGATTGTTGAAAATAAAGTTATTGGAAATGTTCTTAATTCCAAGATAGCTAAACCCTTGTCTTAAACTCAGGGCGGTGAGAGAAAAAGCTCATGAAAGCAATTGAACATGTTTAATTCACTCACAAACTTAATCTGAAAGTTTCAGTATTGATTATTTTAAACCCAAGAACATGTTTTAAAACAGTAATCTCAGTAAGATATATGCTAACATGATTGTCATTGCTAGCTAGATATTTAGCTAAAACTGTTGCCTAGCAACAAACATCTTAAGAAGATTTGTAAGAAGATATTTGAGAAGTTCGTAAGAAAATCATTCAATCTTAAGATATTGATGAGGAATTGCACTTACGAACTATCCTATGAACTCCTTTTTTTTTCTTTCTTAAGAAGCTTCTTAAGTTTTTGCGTAATAAGTGTTTTGTGAATCTGGGCCCTGGTCCCCACAAGGATAGTAAAGCCAAACCACACACACACTGTCCATCATACACTCACAGACACACACACACACTGTCCATCATACACTCACAGACACACACACACACACACTGTCCATCATACACTCACAGACACACACACACACTGTCCATCATACACTCACAGACACACACACACACACTGTCCATCATACACTCACAGACACACACACACACACTGTCCATCATACACTCACAGACACACACACACACACAGTCCATCATACACTCACAGACACACACACACACACTGTCCATCATACACTCACAGACACACACACACACACTGTCCATCATACACTCACAGACACACAGGCACACTGTCCATCATACGCTCACAGACACACACACACGCATGCTGCTCTCCCCTCTTGCTCTCTACTGTCTCCCCCTTCCCTTCACCTGCCCTGACGCTGGACACACACACACACACATACGCACACACACCCCTTCGCTAGCTGGCCTGACAGTTTGACAGAAGCAGGTGGCCTCGCTCCCTATCTTGCCCTCTTGCCTTCCGAGCTCTCACCCCCGGTGGGGACGTTTGGGCCGTTGTCGCCTCGCCTTGTCCTCCCCTGACCAAATATCACAGGACAGGAGAGAGGACATGACTTAGGACACATCCCAAATGGCAACCCATTTCTTTATACAATGCACTACATTTGACCAGAACACTATAGGCCCCTGCTTAAAAGTAGTGCACTATATAGAGAATAGGGTGCCATTTGGGATGCAGGTTCCATAACACCCCACCCACCGTGCTTCGGTTCAGTCTAATACTGTAGCTTCGCTCACTCCTCCAAAACACGCACACACACACACACACACACACACACACACTTTCTTTCACTCTGCGACTGTGTGACAGAGGCAGGTGGCCTATTTCCTGCCCTCTGACCTTCAACACTTCCCCTGTAGTAGGGAGACAGTCACCATACTGCAGACACACACACAGAGGAGGAGTCTAGGTTGCCCCTGGTGAACTGGGGGAGAGGTCTTGCTAAGGCCCTAAAGGGGGGGCAAGTGTGGGTCCTTCAACTCAGGGACAGAGTTATTTTAGCCTCTGGGGCAGTCCTGACTAGTTGAAGGGTCATCCCTAGAAGGTTACTATACATGTGTACTGTACTGTACTGTACTGTATGGCCTACTACAGTAACACCCATGGGAGGGTTTTAATTTAGGTTCAATTAATTGTGTGTCCATCCTTGTATGATATATCTTTGTATAACGTTACACTGATAATGTTGGCTGCAGTGTGTGTGTGTGTGTCATACAATGTGCTACACTGGTGTATTACTGTATGCCGTTGTTTGAGTGGATGATATGTGTCTCGTTGTGTGTGTGTACCTACTGTATGCCAGGGGAAGAGAGCCCCCTGATTAATACCAGCTCGTTGTGTAAATGGAGCGTGCTGAACATGTTCTGATAACTCTAATGTGTTCCCAGTCCCAGCTTGATTTTATTGCCATGCTCCTAATAGGATATTGCCACTATCGCAATTTGGATTAACTTCCGTGCCGCTGCTGTTGAACTGACTGACTGAGGGGGTGTGTGTGTGTGGGTGTGTGTGGGTGTGTGTGTGTGTGTGTGTCGATTAATTCCTTATCCAGAACATCCCTCTTATTATGACCCCCACTCTTTATTTTCACAAATACTGGACTCTAGCTTTATTGCGAGCATTTAACGTTTTTTTCTTCTTCTGAATAAAAATATATTTTGGAAAAATGTGTGACCCTGTGTGAAAAGGGAGACCTGTGAATTTCAAATGAACGTTAAAAGAATTTAAGTGAAACCAGCGACTGTAAATTAAATATAGATAGCAATGCATTAAAGAAAATGAATGCTAATTAGCTGGATCGTGGTGCGAAAGCACTCTAAATAATATTTACATTTTACTATCAGTCTTTTCATGTTGACCTTCCACTGGCAAAGATAAATAACACAAACACACAAACACACACACACATAGGTAACAAAACACTGGTAGTGCAGGCGAAACTGCCATGCTACCGACATGTTTTTGTCTGTGAGGAGCGCGATCTGTTTATTATTTATGCATAGTCACTTTAACCTCAATTACCTGGACTAACCTGTGCCCCCGCACATTGACTCTGTACCGGTACCCCCTGTATATAGCCTCGCTACTGTTATTTTACTGCTGCTCTTTAATTATTTGTTTTTTATTTATATTTTTTACTTATCTGTTTTTTACTTAACACTTAGTTTTCTTAAAACTGCATTGTTGGTTAAGGGCTTGTAAGTAAGCATTTTACTGTAAGGTCTACACCTTTTGTATTCGGTGCATGTGACAAATACAATTTGATTTGATTTGATTTGATCACTCTCACTCACTATGCAGGGATTCTGCCATCTCTGTGGTTCCTTTGTCTCAGCCAACCTCCACTCCTCCCAGGCTCCTCCCCCCTCCCCAGCCAGTCGTCCAATGGCGTTGTCTTCAGGTGTTGACCTTATCGGGTGGAGGTCAAAGGCAGGTCAGGGATCTGTTGCTAGGCTACCATCAGATAACTGGCGGGGGTAGGCACTTGGCAGCCGCTTGCTGTCTGGGTAGCTGCTCTCTCTGTCATTCACTGCTTGTCATGTAATCTCATTCATTTGCAGACAATTGCCTGGACGTCAGAAAGGCTATCTGCTCCATGCTGTTGTAATGAAAACACATTAAAATATTAAAAACGGCCAAACTAGAGCCCCATTACAAGCCAGCTCTACTTGGCATTGGCACACTTCCGTTATTATACCATCATGCCAATTGTCATGTGGTAACATGAACCGTTTAAATAGGTAGTGTTGGTGACTGCCTTTGTCAAAATGACAGTATGGCGCCTGGCTGTCAGGACTAGGTAAATTACACTGTAAAAGACAAAGGGTGCGTCCAAAATGGCACCCTGTTCCCTATATAGTGCACTACCTTTGACCAGAGCCATATGGGACCTGATCAAAAGCAGTGCACTATATAATGAATAGGGTGCCATTTCAGAGGCAGACAAAGTGAAGGATTATGGGAAAGTAATGGTGTGAAATGGACAAGGAGGAATCAGCGTCTTTTGATTAGCTTTATTTGATTAAAGCCACACTGCAACATAAATTAGATATTCATCTGGTCATTCAAAATGAAGACCTGAGGCATAGTGTGTGTGTGTGCGTGTGTGTTATATGCTCATGCAAGTACTGTGTGTGTGTGTGTGTGTGTGTGTGTGTGCGTTCCTGTACCAGTGTGGTTGCCTGCTTATACAGTACATGTACACTGAGTGTACAAAACATTAAGAACACCTTCCTAATATTTAGTTGCACCCCCTTTTGCCCTCAGAACAGCCTCAATTCGTTGCGGCATGGACTCTACAAAGTGTCAAGCGTTCCACAGGGATGCTGGTCCGTGTTGACTCCAATGCTTCCCACAGTTGTGTCAAGTTGGCTGGATGTCCTTTGGGTGGTGAACCATTCTTGATACACACGGGAACTGTTGAGCGAGAAAAACCCAGCAGCATTGCAGTTCTTGACACAAACCGGTGCGCCTGGCACCTACTACCATAGCCCGTTCAAAAGCACTTAAACGTTTTGTCTTGCCCATTCACCCTCTGAATTGCACACATACACAATCCATGTCTCAGTTCTCTCAAGGCTTAAAAATCCTTCTTTAACATGTCTTCTCCCCTTCATCTATTCTGATTTAAGTGGATTTAACAAGTGACATCAATAAGTGATCATAGCTTTCACCTGGATTCACCTGGTCAGTCTATGTCGTAGAAAGAGCAGGTGTTCCTAATGTTTTGTACACTCAGTGTATATGTATGTGCTAGGCAAATGGTCGATCCATTCATGACTCATTCTGAGAAACAAGTGGTTGTGCGCTCACCTCCCTACCTTTAAATAGAGCGAACAAAAACCAAGGGTGGCAAAGCATTCTATTTAGAGAGAGAGAGTGCTGTTGCATCTTCACACAAACACCATATTATCTCCCACTCAGCAGCTCCAGCCACCTGGCCATTTATCTATGTGAAGACTAGAAGAATTCTTAACTCTCATTCTGATGAACGACATCATAAATCCTGTCTCATTTTCAAATCCGCTCTCACACGGCGGTCCTTAGCAGAAGACAGCAAGCTGACACTGTGTCGTATGTCTCTTCTCCCAGGATCCTCTCTGGGTGACACGCACTTTGTCAGTGTCATGCCAGCCGAGCCGGGCGGAGGTTAATCGGCGGGTCGGGAGGAAGTGGTCATCAGAGGGCTTTGTGTGAAACGCCACCTCAGCGATGGCCGACAGAAAGAGATAAGGCCGCGTCCATTTGTCCGCCAGTCCATCGCGCTAGGACGCTAGAATCCCCCACCGTCACAGTGAAGCGTTGGCACTCGGGGCGGGGTTCTACAGTCCTAGCTCATCTGTGAGATTGGCACGTTCTGAAAAGAACGTCTCAGTGTCTTGGGCACTTGCCAACTGACAGCTGAGATTTATCGGGGTACGCAAGCCCGCAGCGAGGACTTCTCTTGTAACATGGTACTCCTGTGAAAGGGATAAAGAAATTAGTGTTAAACATTTCCCCCCACACCGTCGAGATATTTCCCTACAGTCTCTCTTCTTTTTTTTGGTTGATATGGCGGATTGGAGACTTGAGAATCAAACAGGAACCACCACAGTACCATGCAGTCAGTGCTCCTGTTTCAATTCCGTGCATATTCATGAGGGTGAGTGGAGAATGTTGCTGTACTCTGTCTGTTGAGTCACAGGTCCTCTGTGGCAGGAAGCACTCCTGGTCAAATGGCAACCGAGATAGAGAGAGAGCGAGAGAGAGAGAGAGGGAGAGAGAAAGAGAGGTGGATGAGAGAGCGAGAGAGAGGGGGGAGAAGAGAGAGAGAGAGAGAACAAGAGAGAGAAAGAGAGAGAGAGAGAAAGAAAGAAAGAGAGGAGGGGGCGAGAGAGAGAGAGAGAGAGAGAAAGAAAGAGAGTGAGAGAGAGAGAGAAAGAAAGAGAGTTGTGTGGGATTTGAAAGGAACAGCTCCTGGCTGCCTGTCTTGGATATTTATTCCTTTCTAAAGCAATGAGGTGTTTGGAGAAAAAGGCCAGCCAGTGTTCTAAATGCTACACTGTCGGTGCAGGGAGCTGTTAACTCAGGTTCCTCTATCTGACTACACTGTGTTGATCCCATTAACTATACAGTCAACCATCCACAAATACAAACTCTGATATGTACAGAGCCTCTTTTGATTCTGAAATGCCACTCTTAGGTAAATTCATAATCAGTAACGAGCGTGTTTACATCACATGTCGTCACCACATCGAGAGGAAAACAGAACACCTAGTACAACCTCCCAAATAATTTGTTGTGAATCAATATCAATATCAAAATTGCTGCCCCCTATTGTCCATTCATCCACGGAGCATTGGGTGACTCCTCCATCTTCATATCACCTGTCAACATCTAGAGGTAACTCTGCCAGGGTGATGAACAGAGAGATAGGCAATGAAACACAAGGTGTGACAGTATGGCAATATGTTATGGGATGCAGCTAGGCAGAGGGGCTCATAATGAAAGCAGGATGAGAAGGCTTTGTTCCAAATGTCACGATGCATATTTATGGCCTGCCGATGGAGTGGCTCCTTGTATAAGCACCATCCATCCATTCATCATCCCTCCGTCTAGCGATGGTCTGACAAAAGCACTTGCCACTCTCTTTCTTCAACACCTCGGCTGCATGGCTGGCGACTAGCGTCATGCGGGTAGCTCACATTCTAGTGAAATGGGCAACCTGATCATATGATGATAGGGAGTTTTTCCTAGCCACTGTGCTTCTACATCTGCATTGCTTGCTCTTTGGGGTTTTAGGCTGGGTTTCTGTATAAGCACTTTGTGACATCTGCTGATGTAGAAAGGGCTTTATAAATGAATTTGATTGATTGATGGATTGATACTGTAAATCTCATACTGTCGTTTTCTATCTGAGATTATCTGAACTATACTGTGGATTATTACATAATTGTTGCTTGATTGTTACCTTATATTTTTTTAAATGTAAAATAGGGGAACCCTTGGTGTCAATTATTGTCCTTGGAAGCATAGTATTATTACTAAAAGATAAGGAAGCACCATCTTTCTTTATCATAATTATTTACTTTGTGGTGTAGTAACACTTTATTTGGTACAGAACTATAGCGCCAGCTTTCATTTACTTCCCACCACTTCAGAAGATGCCACAAATGGAGAGATCAATGTCATAGCCAGAGTACAATAAGACACACGGGAGGGCGTCAGACTGAATCAGACACTCGGAGTAAAGCTCCAGCGAGCACTCTCCCACTAAGAGGGGGATCCCAAGGGATCCAGCTCCGTGTTGGCTGGCCCGCTCCTGGGCTGCTATGCGGTGGAGGATGGGGGTGGACTGAGTGACTGACTGTATGGCTGTCTGTGGTCCCACTGCTCCTGAGGGAGAGAACATGCCTCCAGGGCTAGGCTGATTTGAGCCGGTCCAAGCACTAACCCCTGGGGGACACCAACCAGGCAGGCTGGGTTCTCTGAGCCTCTCTTTCAGGCAGCCGGTTGGCTGTCGGCGGTTGGAGCTTGGTGGTTGTGGAAAAAGAGAAGGGGCTTTCATCTCTCTCTCTCTCTCTCTCTCTCTCTCTCTCTCTCTCTGTCTGTCTCTCTCCGAGCGTCTCGTTGGATTTCCTCCCAAATTACAGGGAGTGACTACACTCCACCTCCCCCGCCTCGCACCGTGCCCGGCTCACCGGAGGGCCTCGGGGGCCAGCGAACCGCTGTCAACCGTCAAGGCTCACAGCTGACTCATTAAGAGGAAGTCAGTCGGATGTGTCATTGGACTGGAAACAGTAAGGAGGAATAAACTACAAAAGTATTGTAGCATGCATATTATGCACATTTCTGCAGGTAATCTAATATTGTCTGGCGGGGGCTTGTAAATTCATTCTAGGAATACTTTCATCTTTTATCCACCAGTTCACACTTGACAATGTATGGTATATCAATAGTGTTGTGACAACTAATGTTATATCTCCTATTGTGGAGAGACAGGCAAACCTTGGATGGAATCATAAGAGCATCAGCGGTGAATGGAACTGGCCTTCATAACATCACACCATACCAGCACCAAACTAAAGACATCCAGGTATCTAGGCAGATAGTCAAGGTGGCAGCTGTGGTTTCCATGGTCCTTTTCTGATCAAGGGGGACCGTTGCCCATCACTTCCAAGCTATTACCTCCACACAGTAAGGGATTTGTATTGGGATAGAACAAGACCCCGCCAGCAGGCAATCTGTCTTTCATTTGAAAACTCCCTCGAGGTTTTCCATTATCCCCCTCCATATCCAGCCTGACCTGGAGAGAAAACCTGGCCTGGTAGGGTCAACTCAGTCTAGACGCTCTACACCCCACCCCCCCCCCCCCCCCTTTCCTCCGCCTTCCATCCATCCTGCCTGCGGACACTAGAGGGATGGAAGGATGGAGGGCCGCCCCCCACCTCTTCCCACCTCCTCTCACCTTCAACCTCTCCCTACCTCCCCTCTCTCTCTTTCCATCCCTCGACCCCCGACCCCTAAGCAACAATAGCATCTCTCACCACCGTAATCTTTCCATTTCGCGTTCCTTCCTCTAGGGGTTAGGGGTCTCTAGGTTGAGAGGGAGGGATTTGTCTGAGAATCGACTGTTGCTCTCGCTGGCTGTCCATTTGAGCCGACCACTGTTGTTATAGATACTAGGCTGGTCAGACAGAGCAAAGAGAAGCCACATCTGGCCACAACACATAGTTATTATATTAGCGGTTGCCATTTTCAATGTTCAATATCCCCCCGTAATGGTCAGTGTGATCGGTTAAGCTTCTTATACACAATGTGGAGGGAGCTTGGGTCACAGCAAGTCACTGTAATGAATGTGAATATGTCTTGGCTTCTTCCTTTCAGCAGATAGCATTCCCTTCTGTATAAATTCTGCACAGAGTTGGAATGAATACATAGCTAAAACATATATAAAGCTGGGATGCCTTTTCTGATGATACCCCTCTGACATGTCATTCCAAGGTAGGATTTTCCGCACAAAGGCAGAGGGAGTACACAGTCAGGTTGGGTTCACACCGGAGGTGATATTTGAAAATTCCCCACCAAGATACAATGGTGACGGAGAAGACGATGTAACCCAAGTGTTTCTACATGACCGTTGACCATGTAGTTCAATTCAGTATGACTTAACAAGCTGAATTCATGGCTCCAAGCCATTATAGTTAAGAATGTGTGCCAATACAATGAGAGGGAGACAACCGTACATTGAAGTTTTAGCAGACGCTCTTACCCAAAACGACTTACAGTAGTAGTGAATGCATACATTTTCATACTGGTCCCCCGTGGGAAATAAACCCTCGACCTTGGCGTTGCAAGCGCCATGCTCTACCAACTTAGCCACACGGGAGCCGTAACATAACATAACATTCACAACTGTCATTTCAATTCAAATTAAAGGCGCTCTCTACTGTACATCTCTATATTGCCCATAGAATTTGTCCTAAGACACAGATCATTATTGTCTTTGGTAGGCCAGTAAAAAGGGATGTCAGATTTATTTTTCCCTGGCAAAATCCCCTTCATACACAAGCGCACGATTACCGAAGACGGCAACAGGGGGAAGAAAAAAAACAGCTAATTGAATATTCATTAACCTGTGCCTAGGTGTATACAAGGCTCTTAACTGCTCTTGTTTATGACTTAAGGACTTGTAGCACTGACCTTAGTTTAACACAGCAGCAGATACCAAATTAACCTCTAGCCTCTGCAGGGCTAGCCATGCCCCGCTAACAAGAAACCTGTCTAGACCAAGCTACAAGTACTTTATGATTCCTCCTCTCACTGGTTCATTCTTCTCCCTCCCACCCTCCGAACACACACACACAGCCCATGCTCTTTTCTCATCTGTAAATGTTTCTTTGCCTATCTCCCAATACACATTCACATGCACACACACACACACACATACACACAAACACACACACATATACACACACACAGACAGCCCAACACTCTCTCCTCCTCCTCCTTTCCCCACCTTCTTCTCCCAAACTCATTTCTCATATACCTCAAAACCTGTGTGGTTTTTGGGTCACGACTCACACCTCAGCGTCTCTGGGTTATCAGATGACATACTTTATCTTGGTGAGCGATAATGTATCTTATACAGGAAAAAAATCACAGGGATCTGAAAACATTATCAAGACATTATCAACAGAATGGGAATCCTCCACTTCCATTAGAGCGATTCTGAGTGTATTGCACCATCTTATGATGAGCATTATTCTATTGGTGATGGTGAGATAAAATGGATGTGCATGAATCAAATAGTGGTTAGTGGTTGCAGCTAATATGCTCATGCATTTTTAATGAAGTGGCTATAAGTGGCAATGAAAGCGTAATGCCCTGCATGTCAGACGGTCATTATCATGGGGCATAGTATTACAAGGTAATGCAATGCAAATACAGGTATTTAGACTATATATAATGTATCTAAATAATAGTGTGTCTCCATGAAGTGTTCAAATGACAGTAAAAAAAACTTTAAGCCTGTATTTCGAAATAATTTATTGCTGATTATAAAGAACTGTTATGCAGATTAGACAGAAGGCCTAGTAGACCATGTTTAATGCATGCAAATTAATAAAAGCTTTCACATTATCTCACCCATACATATAATCAAATATCCGCCTATTCATATAATTGTTTTATTAAAACCCACTTTGGCTATGAGAGTTAAAAATTTTTTTTATATGATACCCTCAAGAATAGTGAGAAATCCAAAACGCGGTTTTGAAGATAGATGTTTGTCCTTTATTGGCTACTGTACACCAGAGCCCGTAAAAGCAGCTGATTGGCTGCTGTTCTCACAGCCAAAACACAACAGAAATCGTTCTAGCGACAGACGTGAAGTACAGGTGGGTAGCTAGATTGCTAACAAGCTAATGCTAATTCTGTAGATGTCTTACCTAACATAGGTAAGTAACGATTCGACACATAATTATATTTTCAGTACCGTGAAATATTATGCTATTAGCATACGCATTTCTGTCCTTAAGGGATGATTAAATGTACCATTTTAGCAGGCTAGCTAATAGCTAGGCCTGTTAGCCACATTAGCCCTTAGCTAGCTGTGTTTTGCTGATTAGCTAGCTACCTGTTCATTAGCAAGCTAGTTAGCCTCCTACCTTGCAAGTATGCATTTAGCATAATTTGCATCCTGCTAATACATCTAGCTAGCTAGCATCCTCTCCTTGTTAGTAAGATGCAGATCTGATGCAACGTTTCCTATGCGTTTTGAATAATTCAAAATACTAAATACTTATTGTTCCTCTATGTCCCTCTTCCAGGCAGAATCATGAGTCTCAGAAAGCAGACCCCCAGTGACTTTCTGAAGCAGATCATTGGCAGACCAGTGGTGGTCAAGCTCAACTCTGGAGTGGATTACAGAGGTAAACACTGCAACTTTTATAAGTCGTCACCTAGTGGGCCAGTGTGTGATATTTCTGCATGTTAACCTATATCTTAATTTTATTTGTCACATACGCCAAATACAACTAGTGTAGACTTTACCGTGAAACGCTTGCTTACGAGCCTTTCCCAACAATGCAGAGTAAAAAAACGAATAATACAAGAATAGAGCTATATACAGGGAGTACCAGATCAATGTGCAGAGGTACGAGGTATTTGAAGTAGATATGTACATGAAGGCAGGGTAAAGTGACTAGGCATCAGGATAGATAATAATAAGAGTAAAATAAAGAACAGAGTAGCAGCAAATGTAAAAGTGTGTGTAATGTGTTTGTGTTACATTTGTTGCTATACTCCAGACAGAATACATTTTACTTCTATGCCTGATTGAGGTTTAAAGATGCATTGCCTATGGACTGTGTGTCTGTCTGTGCCATTGACATTCATTTGTGCCTGTCTGTAGGTGTCCTAGCCTGTCTGGATGGCTATATGAACATTGCAGTGGAGCAGACAGAGGAGTATGTCAATGGCCAGCTGAAGAACAAGTATGGCGATGCCTTCCTGAGAGGAAACAATGGTAAGAGCTCCAGAACCAGACACATGTTTTTTCGAACTACTTGGTGGCACTTGTGTAGAAGTCAACATGATATTGAATAGCTATGGAGAATGGTGTATTCCTCCTTCCCCTTTTATTTTAGTAATTACTTATTTTTGATCATTTCCGCGTTCACGTGCTAGTCAGAACTAGGGAACTCTGACATTTCCGATTTGCTATCTGGTTGAATCTGGCATGTGTATAGCTTCAACCAGTTAACAAGTCGGAAATATCAGTTTCCTAGTTCCGACTAGCACGTGAACACGGCAGATATGACACGTAATTAACTGAGACTTGGCGACTATATGATGTTGCCACGAATAGCAGGATGAACTGTAGATATTGTAAAATGATCAAGATGAAAGATGTTGCACTCGCAAAAAATATCTGCGCATCTGCATGGGTGCTGACAACAGCCGAGAAGTTTAGCCTCACGCTTCACCCTCTTAGTTGTTATGGAAGTCAGCCTGATATCTCACATAATAGTATCTGGTTTTGTTTCTACATGCCACTTAAGTTTTCACTTTTCTTGTCTGTACTAATTATTTTCTATTTCCTTCCTTAGTGTTATACATCAGCACCCAGAAGAGGAAGATGTGATGCAGAGGATTTGTTTGTTTTTTGAAATCCCTGACGTTGTTCCAGTTGATTGTTTTATGACATTATTTGTTTTTGTTTTGTTTAATGTCTCTCAGCTGAAGTGTGTTTTTTAGTTTTTTGTAAAAAGGAGAACAATCCAATAAATCATGTTTTTGGAAGTTTAATTTTGTTCATAGATTCTATTTTCCCCCACCTACATTTTATCTAATGATGACCCTAACATGATTGTAAAAGATGCACATATATTGAAGTATCAGTATATAGTACATCTGTATACTCCCCTACTTGAGTATTGAAGTATTTTCATTTTATATTGAAGGAATAGACTTTCCTTCCTTGGTTCCTTACTGACCTGTAGAGGCTGGTTGAACATGAGCAGTGATTCTTCTTGATAATATTCTCCAGTCAGTCCTCTATGATGACGATGCTTAATGCCATACTGATGGAGAGTTTGCTTCAATCTAGTAATTCACTGTGGGCTCTTGAGCCCTGCCAGCTTCCAATAACACAAAGAGACAATAAAGCACTGGGCATACGATACCGCAAGGCATGCATTCACAATGTAACACGGCTCATTCTCCTTCAATGTTATGAGACAGATTATACAGGATACACTGACCTGAAGGGCTACGTTCATCACAGTATGTGATAAGTCTTAATCATGATTGGTTTAATGTGTGGGTGGAGTTAGAATGGCCAATTGGCTTCTGGTGTTTTCTCAACTACCAATCAAAACCAGCCATTATGGAAGAACAAAACAGTGATGCCTGTCTGTCTACAAATGGTCCCTCCTGCAGGCAATGTCAGATTCTATTAACATGTAAACAGATCTGTCAGTTGCTACCCGTTTGCCTCTGGTAGTGGATAGATGGTTAATGGGAGGTGTGATTGCTGAATGTGATACAGCCTGTTAGTGTTATAATGTCTAGCGTGGCAGGTGATTGGATTTCTCACTACCCACACACAAAGTATCTCTTTTTCAACACACTTGCACACAGGTTTCTTTAATCCTCAAACACATGAACCCCTCATAACTACAAGATGGACTACTACAAGTCGTATCTTTATCGTTGATGCCTGCTGCCTACCTCCTGAAACACCATGCATAACGTATGCAAAGATGTGGAAGTTTATCCCATTTAGGTCATCTGTACTAGTAATTTAGAAAATGAGTTCAAACCAAACGTGACGTCAGTTCATTATGCTAAGATAAGAACGCAATAAATATATGATTCATTAGGATTCTAATGATCTATCTGCTTGTTGGGGTGGTTGGTTGGGAGGGTTCCGAGGGAGAGGGAGACTTTGCAGGGCCTTGTTTTCCACCCTGTACATGCGCACTCTGGCCTCTGCTAGGAGACAAAAGGCTGCCAAGGTCATGTCTGACTTGAGGATGAAGGACGCATTATTGATCAAACTCCCTCCGCCGAGCCGCGACTGGAGCGAGTGAGAGGGGAGAGACGGGGGCTCGCTGCAGACCACACTGATACACATACTGATGCATGCACACACTGATACTGACAGACACACACACACACACGCTCTTTCCCTCACGCACACACACACATTGACACAGACACACACAGATAATCATTATGGCAGCTAGCGAGGTTAGTGCAGGCAAATATTTACCTAGTGGAATCATAACGGAGCTGCTGGCTGTGCGGCCTCGCAGGAAGCCCAATTAATCCTGTTCACAGTAATGACCTGGTGGCACACCTCATGCTATTGTACTGCTATTGGCCCGGACTGTTCAGACACACTCCGCGTACACTGCCCTAATGCGTGCATGTGCCTAGCAGTGTGTGTCTAGGAGTATATGTGTGTATGTATTGATTTCAGGCAGTCTCCTTTTGCAACTGCACATTTCCCTTTGTAACCCCTAGAATAAAGAGTTGAATGAAATCCTGTCAGTGTGGGTCTTGGGTCTGCATTGGGGTTTTGTATCAAACACACCTATTCTGTCCATCTTGCCCATCAAAGGGTGCTCAGGGTTGACCAAAGATGCTGCAGCGGTAACACACACACAATCTCTCTCTCTCTCTGTCACACTAACCTTGTTACTGAGGAGCCATCAGAGGAGTCAAAGTCTTACAGCACCACCAGCTGCCAAAGCCTATAACTACATGAGAGAGAGAGAAGAGAGAGAGAGAGAGAGAGAAGAGAGAGAGAGAGGAGAGAGAGAGAGAGAGAGAGAGAGGAGAGAGAGAGAGAGAGAAAGAGAGAGAGAGAGAGAGAGAGAGAGAGAGAGAGAGAGAAAGAAAGAAGAAGGGAAAGAGGGAAAGAGGAGGGGGCGATAGCGTGACCCTGACTGATCACACTGCAGCACTGTCTGTCGTCAGGATCAAAGACATGAGGACAACCATAGAAGCCCATGAGGATAACCTGGCATCGCTGGGTTCAGGTTGTGCTGCCTGGATATCTGTCCTCAAATTGGGCAAGGAGGTGTTTCTGGCTTTTCACATTTCATGTGTTTTTCATGTTTTTTTTGGATAATGTATGATTTAAATACCGCAGACAACACCATCAAGGTGAGAATATGTGTGTGTGTGTGTGTGTGAGAGAGAGAGAGTGTGTGTAGTGAAAAACAAACCTAAGGCATGGAAAAGGGATCTGGGCTTTGTCCTGTGTGAATTTGACCTGTCTTAACCACTATAACCCCCCCCCCCCCCCACACGGTGCCACCTCCCACACGGTGCCTCTCTCTCGTCTCCCATTCCACTCCAGGGTCAGAGGTTATAGGTTACCCTGGAACAAACACCTCAGATCCAGTTTCCAAGTTCAGGGAAAATACAGTCATTACACAGGCTGTTTAAAGTGTGTTAGTGTTAGTCAACCATACTTGCTGATTGCCATGCTCTTCCCAACATGCTGTTTCTTTATAAAATACAAGTGTTCATGTAAATGTTTTACACATTAAGGTGGTTTAGAATGCCATAGTGTGTTAGCAATACACTTACACTACCAGTCAAACGTTTGCACAAACCTACTCATTCAAGGGTTTGTCTTTATTTTTACTATTTGTTACATTGTAGAATAATAGTGAAGATATCAGAACTATGAAATAACACATTTGGAATCATGTAGTAACCAAAAAAGTGTTAAACAAATCAAAATATATTTTATTAAAATAGCCACCCTTTGCCTTGATGACAGATTTGCACACTCTTGGCATTCTCTCAACCAGCTTCATGAGGTAGTCACCTGGAATGCATTTCAATTAACAGGTGTGCCTTCCTAAAAGTTAATTTGTGGAAGTTATTTCCTTAATGCGTTGGAGCCAATCAGTTGTGTTGTGACAAGGTAGGGGTGGTATACAGAAGATAGCCCTATTTGGTCAAATACCAAGTCCATATTATGGCAAGAACAGCTCAAATAAGCAAAGAGAAACGAAAGTCCATCATTACTTTAAGACATGAAGGTCAGTCAATTTCAAGAACTTTGAACGTTTCTTCAAGTGCAGTCGCAGAAACCATCAAGCGATATGATAAAACTGGCTCTCAGAGTTACCTCTGCTGCAGAGGATAAGTTCACTAGAGTTACCAGCCTCAGAAATTGCAGCCCAAATAAACGCTTCACAGAGTTCAAGTAACAGACACATCTCAACATCAACTGTTCAGAGGAGACTGTGTGAATCAGGCCTTTATGGTTGAATTGCTGCAAAGAAACCACTACTAAAGGACACCAATAAGAAGAAGAGACTTGCTTGGGCCAAGAAACACGAGCAATGGACATTAGACCGGTGGAAATGTGTCCTTTGGTCTGGAGTCCAAATTTGAGATTTTTGGTTCCAACCGCTGTGTCTTTGTGAGACGCGTGTGAGTGAACGGATGACCTCCGCATATGTGGTTCCCATCGTAAAGCATGGAGGAGGAGGTGTTATGGTGTGGGGGTGCTTTGCTGGTGACACTGTCTGTGATTTATTTAGAATTCAAGGCACACTTAACCAGCATGGCTACTACAGCATTCTGCAGCGATACGCCATCCCATCTGGTTTGGGCTTAGTGGGACTATCATTTGTTTTTCAACAGGACAATGCTGTTTTTCAACAGGACTATGACCCAACACACCTCCAGGCTGTGTAAGGGCTATTTTACCAAGAAGGAGAGTGATGGAGTGCTGCATCACATGACCTGGCCTCCACAATCCCCCGACCTCAACCCAATTGAGATGGTTTGGGATGAGTCGGACCGCAGAGTGAAGGAAAAGCAGCCAACAAGTGCTCAGCATATGTGGGAACTCCTTCAAGACTGTTGGAAAAGCATTCCAGGTGAAACTGGTTGAGAGAATGCCAAGAGTGTGCAAAGCTGTCATCATGGCAAAGGGTGGCTACTTTGAAGAATCTCAAATATAAAATATATTTTGATTTGTTTAACACTTTTTTTGGTTACTACATGATTCCATATGTGTTATTTCATAGTTTTGATGTCTTCACTATTATTCTACAATGTAGAAAATAGTAAAAATAGAGAAAAACCCTGGAATGAGTAGGTGTGTCCAATCTTTTGACTGGTACTGTAGATGTTTTCTCAACACAATGTTAAACCTTAATATTTATTACATGAGAAAGTCCACTCCAAAAGCAAACACCAAGCTCAAGTTCTTCAGAACACCAAGCTGAAGTTCTTCACAACACCAAGCTCAAGTTCTTCAGAACACCAAGCTGAAGTTCTTCACAACACCAAGCTGAAGTTCTTCACAACACCAAGCTCAAGTTCTTCAGAACACCAAGCTGAAGTTCTTCAGAACACCAAGCTCAAGTTCTTCACAACACCAAGCTCAAGTTCTTCACAACACCAAGCTTAAGTTCTTCAGAACACCAAGCTGAAGTTCTTCACAACACCAAGCTGAAGTTCTTCAGAACACCAAGCTGAAGTTCTTCACAACACCAAGCTGAAGTTCTTCAGAACACCAAGCTCAAGTTCTTCACAACACCAAGCTCAAGTTCTTCAGAACACCAAGCTGAAGTTCTTCACAACACCAAGCTCAAGTTCTTCAGA